GAAGAGAGCGGCTGGATCAATCCGGCGTAATTCTTCGTGTACTTGTGGAGATAATTTGCGAGACCCAGCCACTGACGCACTTCAGTGGGATTCTGTGGCGTAGGCCACGCACATATCGACGACACTTTCTCGGGGTCGGCGCGGACGCCGTTCTTGCTCACAAAGCAGCCAAGCACCGGAATCTCCGGCGCGCAGAATATACACTTCTTCAAGTTGGCATACAGCTTGTTTTCGCGCATCACTTGGAAGACTTGCCTCAGATGCTTCAAGTGGACTTCAAGCGCGCTGAGGCCTCCCTCAGCGCGACTGTGTACGAAGATGTCATCGAACTAACTCGGTGCGAAGTCGCGGAGCGGGCGCAGCACATGGGATACCATGCGATTGAACGTGGCGGGAGCATTCTTCAACCCCTGCGGCATAACCAGCCACTCCCAGAGCATACCACTGGGAGTGCTTACCGCTGTGAGCGGTATATCGCTCAGCCTCATGAGGATTTGGTAGAACCCATCGGTCAAGTCGATGGCGCTGAAGACCTCACTACCCGACATTGCGTCGAGCACCATGTCCTTCCGAGGAATCGGCGTCTGGGCAGGGATGGTAGCGTCGTTTAGCTTGTTGAAGGCATGGACGATGCGCCATCCGCCCGTGGCTTTCTTCACACAGAAGGTCGGACTGGAGTGCGGCGATGTGCTCTCACGCACATGACCCGCCTTGCGGCGGCTCTCGAAGAAGTCATCGATAGCTTGGACCTGATCTCGCGGGAGCGGCCACTGCCGCGTCACACAATACTTCGAGCCGGGCACGAGATCAATCTCGTGGCGAATTCCTCGGTCAGCTGGCAACTCAGCTGGGATCTTATCCGGAAATACATCTTCATATTCGCGGGCGGTCTCGTAGACTGGATTGCCGGATTCGCGTAGCGCGTCCCAAGACTGCGCTGCGAAGCGCTCCTCGCGGGCCGACTTCGGCTCAGCGCTCTTTGGGCGCGAGGGAGCGTCGCCGTCACTGACTGCATTCACTTCGAGCGACGCCGAATCGGCGTCGGTGATCAGGCAAACCTGTTCGATTTCATCGTCCTTGAGGCCGCGAAGGAAGTTCTTCCAGGAGAGACCTGGAAGTCGAGAGATCGACCCTGCCTCGCCAGGCGGGTTTGCAAGCTCGAGTGCTCGTCGGCGGCCAGAGGTACCTTCCACAAGCACGCAGACCGACTCCGTCGGTGAGCTGTCACTTGGTACGGGCTCTCGGCGAGGTTTCAGCCGACGCCGCTTCGACTTCCTCTTTCGCCGCCTCGAGTGCGAACTCGAGGATGATGAGTCGCTCTCGCTGGACGAGATGTCACCCCCCTCTAGCGGGAGACCCTGCTCGACCGCGGTAGTGTTCAGCGGGAGCGCCAACTGCTCGACCACCGGCTCAATTGACGGGAGCCCCTGCTCGACCGCCATCTCGTTCGTCTGCGGGAGCCCCTGCTCGACCGCCATCTCATTCGTCTGCGGGAGCCCCTGCTCGACCGCCGTCTCGTACATCTGCGGGAGCCCCTGCTCGACCGCCAGTTGGTCTTCATCCCCGCGGCGCCGCGGGGACTCGTCATTTAACAGCACTGCGCAAGCCGTGCAGAGAGGGCCATCGCTCACTCTGTGCACAACGTGCGTCGTGGATGACCGGTCCACGACGGTGACGTGAGGCCAATCCTTCTGGGCGACCAGGAGGTGCGTGAACACCTCGCTCACATCATAATCACTGCGGCGCTTGACCGACCGGGCCAACCAGTCAATCTCTGGTTGATAGCGCGTCAGCCACGGCATACCCAGGATGCAGTCAAACGCGTAATTCATCTCAATGACGAGGAAGTCGTCGTTGCTTCGGAAACCGTCGAGCGTGTACGGAAGGGTAATCTCGCGCCGCGCTACGCGGCGTGATTTCCCATCGGCCAACTTGACAGCGACCTCCCCTCTACCTTTACGGACAGTGATGTCCGACGGGAGTACCGACAAGCACGACGCGCGGAAGAAGTTGTTGGTCGCTCCTGAATCAAGGAGCGCTCGCAGTGGTCGCCGGGCACCGGCGACATGAAGACTGACAATGATCAATCTTGAATCTCTCGGCGTGGTGGTGGCATGAAAGTGTGCATGCAGCACAGGAGGGCTAGGAGGTTGGGTTGCCACCGGGGGACCCGGACCTCCATTCCAGCCAGTAGGGCGCCCCGCACCTACTGACCCTGACCGTTTTTTGGCTGGTCAGAACTCACGGGCTCAGCATCGACATGCGCAAGCACTGGAGCTGGCGCGCGGCACTCCGCCGCGCGATGACCGACCTTCCGACAGCGGAAGCAGGTGAGAGAACGATTGTTCCGAGCACCGCTCCGACGCGCTGCATAACGCTGACGATTGCTCGTCGCATCGATAGCGTCGATGTCCATGGGCTCGGGCACAGAATCCCGAGCAGAAGCAGGTAGCGCGTGAGCGTATGACGCCGCAACCACGTAGTCCTCGCGTAGGGCGAGGGCGAATGCCTCTTCGAGCGTAGAGGGGTCCGATCTTGTAAGGCAGTAGCGCGTCATGCCTTCGCGCATACCGAACACGAATACATGAACCTGAGAGGCCATATCGATCGGCTTAGACACGATGCACGACGCGAGGTGTCGTGTCTTCTGGACGTAGTCGCGCATAGTCATCGTGCCTTGCCGAAGGGCGAAGAAGTCTGCCCGAATTCGGGATTCATCTTGCGGCGGCTCGAACGCGAGCCGAAGGTCACTCTGGAGGGTATCCAGAGTGGGGAAGACGTTGGGATCGACAACCAACTTGCCGAGAGCTCATTCCTTGGCTTTCCCAGACAGCCGCGAGAGGAGGAAATGGACCTTCGCGGAAGGCGCCTCGATCAACCTCGAGGCGATGACGATGTCGATCTCTCGAAACCAGCGATTCAGCGGAAGTCGATCTCCTCCGGCACCGGAGTAGGTGGACGTCTCTAGCTTCACGACGTCATTCGTGGAGATACGAGAGGGAGTTGACACTCGCCAATTCACATCGGCGAGCTCGCGCTCCATGAATTCTTGTGCCGCAACGCGCTGCTCGTCGGGCGTCGCTGGGCGCAGCAGCGACGTGACGACGGCTTCTCCGGACACCGCCGCAAGGCGGTGGAGAGCTTCCCACTCGATCCGAGTGAAATGGAGAAAGGCAGCGTGGTCGAGGTCTTGGCTCATGTCGAACTTGGTCGTTGGAAGGACTACAAAGTGCTACCAGGTGTAACGCGCCAGGTATTTACTCCGTCACTTGCTTACACTATAGTGTTGAGGAAGCTCGCAATAGGACGACTGAGTCTTAGGTTTAAGGAAAAATCAACTCTGACTTTATTTTAGGATCAAGGCCACAGCCCTGGCCACTCAAATACACGTCATAGTCCAATTGGCTAATAATGGGTCTGGCTCCCCATATATCAGCCAATGGCATGACAGCATTTCAGCACACGCTAGTCGTGTGCTGATGCACCTACTTTTGTAAAGAAATCTACCTACTTATGTAATGGAGGGGCCCATTACATCGTTAGTCATCAGTGCTGGGCTTTTTAACCGGTAAGACTGGGCGGCACCAGCGGCTCTCACGGTTTTCATAAACCCACCCCAATTCGACAAGCTTCTTGCTAAAAGCATCGAGAAATTCTGATTATTCCGGGCTGTATTGGCGTACTTTGCACCGGTAGGGAGCTGCACCAGGTTTTAGCCGGATTTTTAGAGGAGGAACTCGAGCTGGTGGGTCGTTACCAACCTCCAGTCTCCAGCCTCCAAAACGGCGTAAAATAGTGTACAGTCTGGTCGTGATGTATTCATCCACAACGCCACGGTTAGTTGCGTCATGTACCAGAGTATCCACTACCTTCATTATCATATCTTCCTCTGTTAGCTTACAGGTCGGCATACCTTCCGGGTCATCAAAGGTCCCATCATCGCCTCCCCGTGTTGCAAGGTATTCCAATTGACGATCCAGATTTATGCCAAGCTCAGCTAACAATGTTTTACCAACCAGAAACTCGTCCTCGTCGGACTCCACGATCAGGCATCGCTTCTGGTCTTGGCATCGTACTGGTCCCGCGGCCGTATTTAATGTGATGATCACATCGATAGCGTGGGTCGATGTCAAAATCGTACCTCCAACTGCACGCGATTCAATCGACTCACTCAATTCTACAGGAAGAATATTCTCATCAAGCTCGCAAAGTCGATCAGCATGTTCTCGTGACATGATATTGTAGTCCGACCCACTATCTGTCTGAAGAAATCAAATAACGTACAATAGCGAAAAGTGCTCCCCTAGCGAATAAAACGCCCTCCTAATTGGGCGCAGAGTTTTATAGAAATAGAACGCCATTAAATATAACGCGCTGTCGTAGGCTTTAATTTCGACAGAATCCTTTCTCAATTTCTTTGAAGCCCAAAAGTACCCTAGAGTTCTAGAATTTCGTAGAATTAGCTCAGCTAATAACTCGCTACCATTTAACTACGATCATTCTTCATTTTGCTGCCATGCCCAAGAGATTGGGATCAGTTTAAAACAGCGTGCCATCGACTGAATATAGACTGAAGGTGGTGGTATTCCATCACGTGCCGAAAAGCACTTTCGTCAGTTGGGTTGGCGTATAAGCGCATCATGCTTCCGACAATGGTAGCGGGACCAAGAGCGAATTCCACTGCTTGGGACTATCGAGGACAAGCTCATGGATTTAATTTACGACAAGAGATTAAAGAAAGAGAGCTAGGCAAATGACAACAGAGCGAAGAGACTAACAGTTTTAGCGCGGATTGCAGCTTGAATTTACTACTTTTAAGTGAAAACCAGGTATTGATACATGTATAAGGGCTCACGTGGTTTGCTTGCTTCCCTCAAGGAGAGCTAAAAGTCACCTTCCGTTACAAATACGTGCTGCACAACGTCATCGTAAACCAAGACAAGCAGGCACGGAGAACCTTAAAGCAGGAATCACGGGATCTATTGATACCTTACTTAAGTCTATTTCCCTACAAGGAAGTTGAAGATGTCGCCATCCCGACAGATGTAGTCCTTGCCTTCCGAGCGGAGCAGACCCTTCTCCTTCGCCGCACGCATACTGCCAGACTTCACAAAGTCCTCGTATCCAACAGTCTCTGCGCGAATGAGTAACTTCTCAAAGTCCGAATGGATCACACCCGCCGCCACCGCTGCAGTCGATCCGGCCAACACATTCCAGGCGCGCGCCTCCTTCTCGCCAACAGTGTAGTAGGTCTGCAGCTGTAGCAGCTCCTGACTGGCACGAATGACCTTTGTCAACCCAGTTTCATCCAATCCGCTCTCGCTCAAGTACTCGAGCTGACTTTCGTCATCCTCGAAAGAGGCAGCAGCTTCCTCCAACGAGCCCGATACCGTCAGACACACGCTTCCCTCGGCCTCAACACGCTCACGAACCGCCTCTGTCATCTCGTTGCCCGTAGCCGCGTCAGCCTCTGAAACATTGCACAGGTACAGCGCTTTCTTGGCTGTCAGCAGCTGCAAACGTTCGAACTGCAGCTGTTCGTCTGGCTTCTCGAATGTCATTCCTTCGGCAAGGTTTCCATCTTCCAGGTGAGGCTGCAAGCGCTTCAGAACTTCCATCAAAGACGGAATTGTCGGATCCGCCGATCTATCCACATGTCACCCACTCGTTATAACTCAAAACTCCACAGCCGACGCAAGAAAAAAAAGACACGTACTTCTTCTTCTTCGCCAGATTAGTCAGTCGCTTTTCCACTGTCTGCAAGTCGGCAAGGATCAGCTCAGTGCGAATTGTCTCCAAGTCACGAATAGGGTCCACTGACTCGTCAACATGAAGAATGTTGGTGTCTTCGAAGCATCGCACCACGTGGGCGATCACCGCCACTTGACGAATGTTGTCCAAGAACTTGTTGCCTGTCAAATATCCAGTTGCATTATTAGTCCAGGTGCAGTCAAGCGACCGTCAATGTCTTTGCACAGTACCGAGTCCTTCGCCGTTAGAGGCGCCGCGCACCAATCCGGCGATGTCTACGAATTCAAGCTGCCAATCGACAGAATCAAAGTGTTCTCCGTCATTTAGCGTTAAGTCTGGAGCTTAAGATACTGATCCAGTTCCGACCTGCGTCTCGATCACGCGCTTGGACTTTTCCACCTCCGCCAGGTGCCGCACACGCTCGTCAGGAACAGCCACGCGAGCCACGTTCGGGTCGATGGTGCAGAACGGGTAATTGGCGGCCTGGGCTACCTCGGTCTTGGTAAGAGCGTTGAACAGTGTAGATTTGCCTACATTGGGCAGGCCCACGATGCCAACTGACCGCTGGAATACGCGGCAGTGTGAGGGTGCGCGGGTCACTACGCGACGAAGGTACAGCATGCTGCGCCACAAAAATGTTGCCTTACTTTTTTCGTGAGATAAAAAATTGGCCGATGCTACAGTCCATGCGTCGACTCAGTTTATTTTCCATGTAGTACTCCATGTAATGTCCATGTGTCGAAATAAATTACTTACCACTGTTTTTAAAATCCATAGTGAATGGAAGTTGTTAGACCTTCGCAAACGAAAGTCCTCTGACATCTCTCGTACATACCGGTATACAGAAGTCAGGAGGTCAACCATACGCATGAACATTAGGCGGGTCGATTCCAGTTTCAATAGAAATGAGATTGTATTAGTTGCATTATGGCTTGCTACCGTGAAGCACGAAGTGAAGGATGCGGAAGCGTAACAGCGTTAGACCAATCGGAGTTACGTCCAGCGACACACTCTTGTCTACATATCGCCAAAACCTCAACATTACGTAGAATCCGCAGTTGTATCCGTCTGTCTGGATCGGTCCATTGACGGACACAACTTTGAAGTCGTCGCTGAGCGTAGTAGCCAGATCCCACGACATGCGGTCCAGTACGTCCTTGTACGTCTTCAGGTTCATTGAGTCGTAGTACAGGACATTGTTCTGCTTGCCATCCACGATCATTGCACACCAATGCATGTTCCCAAAATTTACAGGAATGAGCAGTACATCCGCTTCAGTGAGTAGTTCCTGAACCTTTGTCTTCATTTTTTCACTCATAGATTTCTTCTTCTTTGACGCCGAGGCTGCCTCGACACCGACGATGCGAACGCCGGTGCCCGTCCTATACAATCTCGCGCAAAAATCCAAAATCAGCGCATCATTAGCCCATTGGGGCGGCTTGAGACGGTACAGTATCGCGTAGTGGTAATCGTTGCCGTCAATTGGGATGGTATCTTGGGGATAGGCGCGAGCAATGGCCTCTGCCATGCTCTGAAGTGTCGATTGTTGTGCTGCTGGTATGGCGCTGGCTGCATCCTGTGTTAACCATTTGGTAAACGAACGCTTCACGTTTGCTAAGTATGCCATGGCCTCAATCTGTTCGCGTGAAAATGTTCCGATACCCGCGATGTAGACACACTCGATCTCCGGGTTTTGTCCGTTGCTGTCCATGATTTGTCCAGGTATTGTAGATGTTTCTTCGTCTTTTTGTGTAGGTTGACTCTGGGTGAGTACATCGATGGCTGTTTCATTGGTGTTGCTCACAGGCAGCACGGCAACGCACTTGTCCAACAGTTTGGGTGGAAGTAGGTAGAACGCGTTTTCATTCAGCACAGGCGCACTCTCTCTAGTGTACTTGGGTTTCTTGCTACCCGCGTTGTTGTACTTGGTTTGGAGTGGCAGAACACGACGTAGACTGTCTTGAAGTGGAGGCTTCTCAAGTTGAAGACTGCGCGCAAGTTGTATTAATGTCACCTCTCCAAGACATCTTCTATGGGCTTCTGACTCGTTAAACAACGCTCGTTTCTTCTTGTCGTCTGCTTCTCTCTCCTTTCTGTTCAACCGGGGCCTACCAGACTTCGCAGCTTTGAAATTCAGACGGATGCGCAATCCACTATCAGTATTTTTCTCTTCGTTGTCATCAGGAGTGGTCTCAAGCGCAAGCTGCTCCATTTCGGGCTTGGTTCCGGTTCGATTTCGGCTGGTTGTCACTGGAGAGGTCACTTCATCTGTTTCTGTTTCTTCTCTCGTGACTGGAACCTTCGTTTTTTCAACCTTTACACGTTTGCGCTGCCTAATGTTCCTCCATTGTTGCACGACGAAGTCTAAATGCTCACGGTACTCGTCGTCATCAGAGATATCGGCTAGCTCACTGCATATAGACTGGAACGCGCTGACTGCCTCCTTGTACTTAACATTAGCGTCAAGCACCTTGTGTTTCGCCTCCCCTGGTTTAAACTCATTAAGCACAAAAGGCCGCGGAGTCATCGGTTGTTCAGCAGGATGTAACCATCTAAATGAATGACATGTCAGACCCTCAGTACAACATCAATATTGGATATTACATGGACAACTCACGGCTTATACGTGGATAAATTGTGAGTTAACCCACCTTTCATCGATGCAACTCAGCGGTATTACGCTTCCTGGGGCGTTACTCCACTTCCGAAACGCGATCGCGTGTTGACAAGGCAGACGCATTGCAGAAGCAAACGAGCAAGTGCAGCTCCACGTTTTCAAATCCACAGCATGCGTCTTGTGTTTACCCGTCACCTCCACGAAGCCTGGATTTGACTTTAAGTCGAAATTGAACTTGTCGACCTTCGAACATGCCATTACGTACTCCTTCTCCACGTGTGTTGCTACGAAATGCGTCGTAAAGCGCAAAACTTGGCACATCTCCTCGTCGTAGTTGCGGTTGACACGTAACCCGATCCTAGTCTTGTCGAACACGTATTCACTGGAAGTCCTGGCATCAGCACCCACAAGGGCCTTCACGGTGTCCGTCATGGTCATGTTGGAGTTTACCCCGTCCTTAAAATGCCCAAACCAATTCTCTAAATGGTTGTTCGTGTGGACGCGCAAATGTGTCAACCGTGAGCGTTGGTACATGACCCACATCTCCGTACAAGTGTTCCAGTTTTCATCCATGTAGTTGTAAAATGCCATATATCCAGTCCTAGTGCAAAGTGCCTTCATGGAGGTCCAATTGGTCTCGTAGATCTCTGAACTTAAGGCATATACCATGTTGTGGACTAATGCGTCGATGGCGTCGTGATCGTCCGACGAAAGTTTACCATATTCTGGCTTCCTGGACGCTGTGCGGAGATATTTGATGACGTGAAAGACGCAAATCAACACGCGCGACTTAGGGAAGTACCGACGCAACACGCGGATCTCATTCAGATCTTTGTCGACCATTATAACTTGAACCTTGTCGCCAATCTTATCGTCAATCCGAAATAGATGATCCAGCGCTCGGGACATCTGCCAATCGGCGTTTCGTTCGAGCAAAGACTGTTGTACAGGCTGCCCACGCCCATTGTCGTCTATCATCATGAAGGTACAAAGCTGGTAGTTGTATCTAATGCACATTACATGGACAAGAATCGCACAATACATGGGCATGACAATTAGTCTGACTTCGTGGTCAGACTAATTCATGTAACTGAGGAATATGTTGATTTAAAAATAGCCTGTCTTCAAAATGTTCATTATTAGCCTGTCATAAATGGCCTTGACTTGGGTTAGCGGTTTGAATCCTGCCCGTTCATACACATGACCCGAGTTCAAATCCCCGTGTGTGGTGATTAAACAACACCAGTGTCAAGGCTCTAAGAGCTGGTGAGATAAATTTCTTTCTTTCATACAAATGCGGGTGGGATGGGTGTCACTAAATGAAACACTCGGTTTTACCTATTTTTGTACCAGTTATGTCTTTCTTTTCCAGCTCGAGTACCCATTTCTTTCTTTATGTCCCAATTCAACTACTCATTTATTTCTTAATTAATTAAATTGGGTATACAGTATGCAAAGTGATAGTATGGATAGAAGGCTCTTGTTGCGGGAGAGACTTGTATTTACGAACGCCACTCGTGTATAGCAGACCGAATGAGGCAGTTTAATCATTTCCCAAACTGCAGAAGATGGGCAAGGACACGGGCGGCCCTGCAAAGTGTGGTGGCTGTGGTTGCAATGTCGGAGAAGTCCATCGTTGCCCAGATTGTGATGTCTCTATGCATCCGTTCTGTGGAACTCCAGTCGATCCTGAGGGATTTGGTCAAGCTATAAGGTGTCCAAGCTGTACGACAAAACGAGATATCGCTGTCGGGGTATTACCGCAAAACCGCAGCAACTACAGCACAAAACTAAGTTACTGTCGCCATCGCCTATCATCGCTGCATTTGCGCGTGCTAAATTGCTTCAAAATGCCGCCCCAGCACCAAATGCATATTGTATTGACAACAGAGGGCGATATCAAGTCCAAGCAGTAGATCAGTCTGTGCAGTCCAGCGTCGGTACAAACGTCGTTCCGGTGGTAAGATCGTCGGAAGAAGGTTCATGGACAGCGCGCTTTCAAAGTCGCCCTTCAGCTCAAGTTGTTACAAACATCACTCAGAGGAGAAAGGGGTTTTGCTGGATGATTGCCACTGAGGAACGACACGGCAATAAACTTCTCTTCTCTAAAGCTGTAGACAACTTTCGTGCGATCTTCAAGTCGGCAACGCGTCGAGCTAACCTAGCAAAAGCTGCGGACTGGTGGCGAAAAATAGCGAGATATCTTGAAGCTGCGCGTGGTACGACGTCACTTTTGGGGCGTAAAGACGATGGTCGACATCGTGTTAACCGTAAATACATTCAAGGTAGAGGACGGCGACCAAGTGCATGGGTTATATGGTTGGATCCGGTGCTTCTGGAGGGGTTTGATCGATTAAGGAAGGCTGGCTTAAAATTCGACGCACCACTTCTGCGCCAGGTTGCCCTCAAGCGGTTTCAAGCTCCGTCAGCCGCCCTATTCAGCTTTCGCTGAAGATGCAAGTGGTGTGCCATTCACAGGCAAAATTACAACGAGGTGGGTGCAAGTTTTCATGGAGAAGCACCAGATAGTACTTCGCGCGCACACGGGTAAGCGACAAGTAAGCCCCGAAAAGCAAGATCAAATTGAACGAGAAGTGGCGGTACATCTAGGTCGCCTGAAGCGCGACCTTGAAAGCGGTCGCCTCGATGAAAATGCCGTGGAGAACATCGATGAGACGCATTTTGTTATCGATTTCGATAATGGGAAAACTTTCGGTTTTGTTGGACAGAAGCAAGTCAAATACGCTGACGTAGTTTTAGGTGGACAAGGCATGACTATGGTTGTTCGTATATCGGGAGGTGCGAGTGGATATATCCACCCTCCGATGATGATTTTTACAAATGCAGATCGAAGTTATCCGATTCGTGGTGTGGACGATAATGTCGAAGGCGTTTGTTATCGAACAGGACCAAAGGGGGGATGGACAAGAAATTGTTCAGGGAGTACCTGCAAGAACCAAACGCTATTCGAGCTGACACGCATGGTCGAACCAAAACGATCTTT